CATGTGCCTCAGCACGGCTTCTAGGTCCTACGAGCCCAGCTCATTTGTATTAACACGTGGAAGTGAAATGTGAAAGTAGGTGGGCACGCTGCTGCGCGGGTGGTGTGCCGCGCTCCGAGCGTAAATAAGAACCCGCCTGCCTGTGCCTGGAAGAGAAGCGTTGACATACGTTTCTTCCAGGCTCATCTGAGCCCAGATGCAGGGGCGAATGTTTCTTACTGGGCTGCACGTGGCGGCAGAGATGCGGCTGCTGTGTTCGGACACGTCTGGGTTCGAGTCCTGTGGGAGAGCTCGCTCGGTGGTCCCTAAAACGCAGGGAGGCGGCGTCTCCCGCGGTCCTCACGGCTTTGGATACCTGCGTTCCTGGGAGTTGTGCTGGGGTGTCGTAGGCTGCAGCGCTGCGAAGTGACGCAGGGGCTGAGCTCACAAGGGAAGGAAGGGACCGGCACAGGAAGGGTGAGTTAGGTCTCGCAGGAATGGCTGCAGAGTGCAGACTTTGGGAATTCTAACGCACAGGTCTCTGGTTTGAACAGTGTCTGAGCACCACTGCCATTTTGCGGGAGGTGTTCACATTTTCAAACTTACCCTTCCCCACCCGTAGGGAGGATGTCTTCTAGAATTCCTTAAAAAAATGAAAAAGTAAAATTCTTATGGTGTTTTAAATTCCAGTGTAGAAGTCTGAAGCTTGATTAAGAATTTATTGTTTCTTTTTGAATTTTAACATTATTGCAGAAGCCCAGTAGCTCACACGTCATGTTTTAACAATCTTTAAAGGCAGTTTCTGCTTAATAAAGACCAAAATAGCCTCTCTTGAGTTATTTCTTCCTATTGCTGTAATGAAGCAACCTGATATTTTGATATATTGCTGCTATATTTTGATACTACTGCGGTCACAATAATCTACAAAGAGTGAAGTTGAAATAAACTTCAATGCTTTAAAATCAGAAGCCACAATGTAATTTTTTCCTTAATGAAAACATTTCTTGAGCAAGATTTAGAGAAAATACCTCTGACCGCTTCTGTTTGGAGGCGAACGAACCTGCTGAGCGCTTGCAGCTTGGATTTGGTTAGCTCTAACGTCTGAAATGGGAAAACAGTTTGTAGTTACTACCTCAGTCATTTAAAGAGCTTAACTGCTCAAAATGAGCCGTAGATTGCAGGGCCGGACTTTTGTAGCAGAGCGGTGGGAACTCTCGCACTCTCCCAGCGGCAGTGAACGGATTTCAGACAAAGGAGGAGACCGCTTTTCAGTGTTCACTCTATGTAAAAGGCTGTAGAAACCTTCCCCATGTTCCCCTTGAGCTGAACTGAGGTAGCGTGTGCCAAGCGTCGTACGGTTTTCTGTTCTTTGTGTCAGAACTGTTTGTGCGTACTTTTGGCGAGGGGGAGACATCCCCTACTATTAGCAGAGGCACACATAAAGTAATTTTTTCAGTTCCCTTGCCCTGTTGTAGCATCTGATATTAACGAGACGTGTTAGGTTGGAGATCTCTGCTTGGCTCTCAGGTAGAAATGCGTTCTTGGTGTTGTGATCACGTAACTGAGACATTGCTGGGCGAGAGAAGCCCGTGCGGACACCGGCCTGTCTCCTCCGTAGTTCAAAGGGAGCTCTTTCCCCGGAGACTTGTCATCTGATGCCTTCAGCCACCCGTTGGCTCCATTCCGGCAAACTTCTTGGCCAGTGGGATGATTTAAGTGAATGAAACTTTGCACATTCCTAAATGCTGGGAAGAATCAGGGCATAAACCAGGCATAAATCTGAAGTAATGTTTACGGCAGGGAAGAACTACGATCCCGCGATTAAGGTGTTAGGCTGAGACTGGGGAGTTGGGTTTTCCCCAGTACTCTGCTGTCAGTCTGAGCTGACCTTGGGCAGATCTCTCTGCCTCAGAAGCCCGTCTGCAAAAAACAGGGCAACTTCCCGGCCTCCCGGCGGTGCCACGAGAATAAACGTGTTGGAAGTGGCCGAGCTCCAGGGTCCCGTGGTAATGGAGAGCATGGAGTTAATTACAGAGGTCACCAGGAGAGTAGGACAGTGACTACAGGGAAGGGCACACTGACTTCTCCAGTCACTGGTGACATAGAATTGTCCATGTGGGAATGAAGATGGGTTTTTTTTGCCTTCGCTGTTCTTAATTTAACGTGTGATTAGGCGTGCCAGTACCCTGCTACAGAGCACAGGAAACACACTGGATATAGGTACCCCGTGAGAAGGAGATGGAGCTTTATCCAGGTTTATATAGGAAGTTGGAATTTTCCTCTAAAGCATGTAGAGAAAGCAGGATAATTCACCACTCTTTTTAGTTATTATTTTGCCCTGCCTTGTGCTGCCCGTGCCTGAAATGAGTTGGCCCAGCGCAGAGCTGACTTAGGCTGCACCAGAGCACAAAATCCCTCCTGTGCTGTGCTGGCTACACAGCCGTTTGGCCACGAGCACCCTGTGTGCCTCATTGTTTCCTTGTATTACTCATCTGCCTGTGCTCGCCCATTGTGTCTTCTCTTACATGAAATTATAAGGTTTGGGGGAAAGGGAATGTGTTACTGTGTTTGCATGGAATCCGGCACGGGAGGGGCTTATTCCAAGAAAGAACCTCCCAGGCTTGGTGGTGGTATAGGTAACAGTAAGTGCCACTGCTTTTTCCGTTCAGCGGGACAGGGGGTGAGTTCTGGCCCGTGGGTCCCGGGCACTCCTTACACGCTTTAGCTTTTCGGGCGCTGTTTTTAGGCCTTTCTGGGTTTGTGACACATCGGGTTGGAAGTTTGGTCCCTCGCTGTCGCAGGCAATTACGTCATCTAATCCCTCTCATAAACTGTTGGAGTGCCGGTTCCCAGCAGCAGTTAATCTAATAAAGGAGAGTCGGTTTAGTTGTTTCTAGAGAGACCCAGCGTGATTGTGCAGCGTCAGAGAACAGGGTGGTGAGACAGCCCGTTAAATCAGACTCACAGCAGGAACTCAAAGCCAGTGTATTAAATAAATAAACAAAAAAACACCCAAACAACTAAATAAAACTGAAAAAGGAATGATGGGATGAGCAGAACAGGGAAAACATTTGCACAGTTAATGGTGTGTGTGTTTTTTTGAAGAAGAAGAATTTACGTCCTTTTCTGACTGTTACCTGTGTTAAAATGCAGTGCCTTCCTGGGGCCCAAAGACCTTTTCCCGTATAAAGAATATAAAGATAAGTTTGGGAAGTCGAACAAGCGAAAAGGATTTAATGAAGGCCTGTGGGAAATAGAAAACAACCCTGGAGTAAAGTTTACTGGATATCAGGTAAATGGCTTTCACTCCTATTCCTCCTTATCTTGTTTTCTTCTACGACTTCTCATCAGTGCCGGCGTCGTGTGAGGATGTGGGAGGTTGGGTGGAGCTAGGAAGGTTCACAGCTTCCCGAACCGCGCGGCGCAGAGACAGCCGTGGCCTCGCGCGCTGTGACCGGCTGAACTCCAGTCGCGCTGCAGAGCCCGCTGTGATATTCTGGGGTGGGGAAGTGGAAAATTCCGCAGCCGATGTGGCTGAATTAAAAATGGAAGGTTTTATTTACTCCGGTATAAACATGCATAATTTCTGACTTCTCCTTTTGGTTGTTCATTTTCATCTGGGGTTCAGTGTACGTTACACAGGCCTTAAGGTCACTGCACTGTGGATTTTTACATCGGTGACGTGTAACACGCAGGACAGTGCTGCCAGAGTGGTGAGGGGTGAGGAGGTGGGGGTTGGAGCTGCTCCTAGGAGACAGTAGCTGCTGTACAACAGCTCTCCCTCTTGGATGGCCGGAGCGAGCACTCAGCGAAGCTGGAAGGGGAGAAGAGTAGTTGGTGGGCTGTATAAAGCCAAAAACCCTTTGCTCATTAAAAAAATGTGGCCCTTTGAAGGCAGAAATCACCTCCACAAGAAGGCAGACACCTATTACATTATTAGCACACGGCCCTCCGAGCCAGCGGTATGGACCACCTGCGGCCAAGCTGCTGCCCTTCTCAGTTCCTGTTTCACATTTTCGGCCCCGCAGATGTCTTGCACGCTCCTGGGGGGTTGCACACTCCTGGGGGGTTACAGCCGTCCCGTGAGCAGTCTGGGAGATGGCCTGGCAGAGAGCGCTCAGCCGCCCTTTTTCCTGACACAGAGATCGTGCCCGGGGGATGGGGGGGTTCTCTCCCAAATAACTGTCTCCCATTGCAGCCAAAGTCCCGTGTTTGAGCTCTTCCTGCCGATAGCGAGTAGAGCGTAAGCTCTCTGTTACCAGCATTCCTGTCTTCAACACACAACAGCACCCCAGCAGTGGTTTTTTTAGTGTTATTGTTGCTGTTTATGTTGTTCCTGTTATTTTAAAGGCAATTCAGCAGCAGAGCTCATCAGAAACTGAAGGAGAAGGAGGAAATACAGCAGATGCCAGCAGTGAGGAGGAAGGTGATCGGGTAGAAGAGGATGGAAAAGGAAAAAGAAAGAATGAAAAAGCAGGCTCAAAACGGAAAAAATCCTACACTTCAAAGGTGATCTTCGGAGTTTTCCCATTGTTGCCCGTGTGCGTTTGTAATTAGGGTACTGTCCAACTCGTGGCAGGCCGTTCTTCCTTCTTCAGTGTTTTGATCCCGGTGCCGTAACGGCAGTGTTGGGACAGGCAGGTGCTTTTGTAGGCAGCCCCGTGAGACAGCGGCTGAGATACCCTGCCCTCTTCTAGTGCCCACACGGCGAGGGGGAGGTGAGAGCATGGGAAGGAGTTCAAAGGGCTGGAAAGAAAATCCACGCACGGATGATTGAGGTTTGGTCATCGTAGACAGGTATTTCCCCATGAAGAGTGAAAAAAGTCATAGGAGTGTGCCTCCTGGGAGGCCTGAGCTCGGGCCTGGTTCCTGCCTGGGAGAATTCCAGCTTCCCTCTCCCATCCCAGCGTGAGTGCCCCAGGTGCCAGGCTGAAAGAGAGGGTAGGGTCAGATGTGCCCAGCTGCTCCTGCTGCAGCCGAGTGTCAGTGCAGGATACGGGATGGGAGGAAGAACTAGTTCATGAAGCAAGGAGTGGGGCACTCCAGCTGGAGACAGAAGACCTGCCTTGGAGTACCTACGTGCCCTGTTAATACCTGAGTAACAGCGTAGATGAGGATGCTGAGAGGAATGTGTCCGAGGCTCCCTCGTATTGGCTGGTGACTGTAATCACCTGCAGAGTGACAACGTTGGGTCAGACACGCTTCTCACTTGTCACCTGAGGGGAAGGGAGCAACGTTACAGTCACGTCCTCCGGCTCTGTGCGTGCCTCCAGGTCCGTGCTTCGCCGAAAAATTGTGGGAAGTGCTGCAGAGTCACGTTCAGTCACATCCACGTTGTTCTTCTCTGGAAGTGGAACCTAAATAAAATGACAAGAAGGAAGCAAACGATGTGATCCAGTCTCAGTCTGGGGGAAAGCGGGGGTTTTCGTGGTTCATCCACTGAACAAAATGGATTAAGTAATTTCACCCCCTCTGTGTGTTTTGCATTAGAAATTCAGGTCTGGTCTACCATCTTCTTTCCAGAAGACTCTGGACAAACAGAGGATTAGGAGAATGATGGCTTAATGCCACAATTTATCCTTTTGTACTGTAGAATTGCAGAACATAAAGGGAGCAGAGAAGATGTATTGGTTCCACATGGCTTTAATGTTAATGTATTAAAGCTGACAGCACTAAGAAAGTATGGAGAGCAGCTCTGCTGATGTTAGTCTCCTTTTACCTCTCTGTGTTTAATCAACATTTTTGTCAAGCTGGCACCATCTGTTTCATTAACTAACAAAAGCCACAGGTGACCCAACACTAATACCATCTCCCCTTACTGTCTGTCTCACAGTCAGCTGCCGCTAACCGCACCATCTCTCCTTTTGCTCCGCTGATGGCAGCAGCTCCAACTGCTTCACCTGAAAGACCCCTTTCACCCCACATACCCTCCCCAGTATTCCGCTTGGACAGGGGACCGCGTGACCAGACCCCACATCGCTACCAAAGGGTCTTTCTACGGCCGAAGCCCTGTTTTTGCTTTTTAACTTTGTTGTTGATCATTTCAGAAATCCTCCAAGCAGTCACGGAAATCTCCTGGAGACGAAGATGACAAGGACTGCAAAGAGGAAGAAAACAAGAGCAGCTCTGATGCTGGGGACGCAGGCAATGACACAAGAAACACTTCTTCAGATTTGCAGAAAACCAGTGAAGGGGTAATCCTCTGTTACTATCGTTCGCTTCCCGTGCGGTTGGCTACCAGGGGCTTTGGCGCTGGGGTGAGAGGCGTCGCATCGCAGTGACCTCTGCGTGCCACACGCAGCCCTTGCCCGTCGCGTTTCGGTGCTCGGAGCCTGCCCGGAACAGAACCGTGGGACTGGCCCCCGCGCTGGTATTTCGCTCTAGGGAAACAGCTGAAGATACTATAAGCATTATTTTTGTGCCAGCGCTTGCGCGGAGGGTAACTCTGGAAACCCGTGAGCTGGCATGATGTGAAATTGATGCGAGAGCGGAACCGGGCTGTTGGTGTCTGCACGTTGGCTTGCTGGGCGGCGGGAGCCAGCGTGTCCGTTGACTTTGTGCAATCCCACTGACTTCTTCAGGGTTCCTGAGGGTTCATGTGCACAGGACTGCATACTGTGGGGTTTAGAGTGGATCCCGCTTGGGATACGCTCTT